TGGAGCAGCGGCTCTCAACCGGGGGGTACGCAGACCCCTTGGGGGTACGTGAGGTCATTTAGAAATGTGTGAAATTATATCATACTGTTGTATACGGCCCCTTTTTCCACAATTAATATCAATAATAATATTTGCCGATATTTTTTTAAATAGTCGCTAAATAAATAATAGCACCCTCAAAACGGCAAGCTACCTCATCCCAGTAAACAGCAGATGGAGATCGTAAAAAGGCAATTTAAAATAAATAATAATCTCCGGGGCAAAGAGATGTTACGACGATCTGCGAATCTCCAGATCGCCAAAGAACGGTTCACAAATAAATACCCAGAATCACAGACACAGAGCACAGGGCAAACAAACATTATAACTGATATTTTTTTTCACAGAAAAAGTTAAAGCTTGGCTATAAGATTAAGTCTATATTATTGGCTTTATTATTACTTATTTTATTTCACCCTTATTCAACTCACGTATTGCTTCTTATTGTATCTTCTATCTACGTGACTTTACCAAGAATCACGAAAGCTTAAGTCTAAACTAAGCTATATATCCAACCTCCGGATATCGGAAATAACTCGCGAATAAACACCGACCCATGGCGACACGGACTGAGAACAAAACTTAGCAAAGCCCGGAATTACAAATCTTGGTTAAACATAAACCAAATAATAATCACAAGAGATTAGGCCTGGGGTAATTCAGTAGAGGTACAAGAAATAGGTCTAACACACAAAGACCAGATAAAGTATCCCATGAAATCAGAACCTCCCGGCCGCCTTTGTCTTCCCGTAGCACGAGAAAGGAATGTAACACCAGAGCAGGGAAATTACACTGTTGTTGCAAGGGGGAGCCATCTGTATCCCACGGATGAAGGAATGGCTTGAGGAGGAGACGGTGATCAATGTAATAAAATGACACACACGGACAAATACACACACGCACACACGGACACCCCCCCACCCCCACCAAAACAAAGCGGAGATTTTCAGATATAACAGCAGCACGACACACACTTTCAGTTTATCAGCTCAGGAGCTACAGAAGAGGGCGGCGAGCGGCAGGCCCGGGGTGGCCCTGCGATCAACTGAGAATGGCGAGGCTCGCCGAGTAGCGATGTATCAACGAGCGTGAGTCCAGAGCTGAAAGACGAAGTATCGCTCAAAGACTTGTATTTCTACATCGAGTGCCAGCTGCCAGCGGCCAAGCGTGTGCCGACTTGGCTCATCCAGCAGCGGAAAGAGCCTGACCAGCCGCCCGTGAGCAAAAGGGTCAGTGAACCAGCGAAGAGCGCGTGCGACTTGGCTCATCCAGCAGCGGAAAGAGCCTGACCAGCCGCCCGTGAGCAAAAGGGTCAGCGAACCAGCGAAGAGCGCGTGCGACTTGGCTCATCCAGCAGCGGAAAGAGCCTGACCAGCTGTCCGTGAGCAAAAGTCAGCCACCAGAGAGCGTTCAGCGCTAGAGAGCGCGCAACCAGGGATCATCACGCCGACGGCGTACAACCGCGCTCGCTGTGAGCGGACGAGCTACTAGCGCGATCTACCGACGGATCATCGCGATTACAGCACCGTGTCAACTCGTCAATCTGCATCAGCCGAACTCCAGCCGACCACGTGAAAGAGGAAAACCCCGCTGTTCGTATGATATGCACTCTGCCCCACACTGCCACCACATCACCTGACGTCTGCTTGACGCAAAGAATTGATTCCGAACACTGACCAACTCAACCCAATCCATATCGCTCAACACATATGCGAATCATTAGTAAGAAGCCTGATCATCAAGTATGTGAACAATCAGTGGCCGTGAAGGCATCGCGGCAACCCGAGTGATAACAATCCGTCGTTTATAAGTACAGTAATAATAATATTTTTTTCTTCTTAATTCTTTTGTTTTGGGTTGTACTTCGAATCGCATAAATTACCAATAGATTCATCCGTAAAAAAATTATCCTTGGAAACCTTCGCCACGGAGCTACGCTCATGGGGAAATATCGTGTTAAACTGGTTCCCTTATCATACAATCTTGTCCACAAATTAATTAATCTACCGTGAGAGAGCACGTCCCGCAGCACACCTTACTCCAAGCCATTTCTTTAATTATACAATCTTGCCGATGAATCTATTGACGTATATTTGTGCCTTTGTAAATAGTAATTGTCTGATTGCCTTTTCGTATGAATATCGTTGCATAATATTAAGGACCTTTCGCTCCTAATTGCCGTACCGGCTCGGGTTACTCTGCATAATAATCAATGGTCCTGCTACCCTGTTAACAACGTGACAAGAAGTGCATTGAGGGTTGCATATGGATCAATGAATGAGTGCAGTACTGTGTGGCCAATTTCAAGTATAGGAATTTGCATATTATAGTGTCAAGGTTTTTGTTTAGAGTAGCGTGCATGCATGTTTTAACGACTCTCACTCTCACCAACTGAGCTCGCGTTACGCAGTGGAATTAATCACGTGTGCACTTGTCAAAGCAAAACAACGCATTCGTTGCCGCTTACTGTGTTGGTACTGTATTGATGATCCCAAGCCAAGAGTCGCATCTTCTAGAGTTAAGGTTTCGTTAGAAAATAAAATGTATTAACGCAGAAGTGGTTGCGTGTTTCTTTCCTGAATTTCATGCGTAATAATCTTATTTACAAGAACTGTATTCTGCGTTGAGATCTGAATTTGGATACCTGATATAAACACACTAATACACTCAGTAAATGTTAAAGCGAGAATAATTGTATTGCCGAGCGTTAATACGAAGTGAAACAACGAAGCGAGTTACTCTGGCATGCTTGCACCACACTGGCATTCCGATTGATGATACGACCCTCGTCAGCGAGGCAGGGCCTAATTATCATAACAGCTCGCATTAGCATAATCACACCCACTCGCGTAAATTAATACGATTAGCTCTCGAATTAGCATAATATATGCGCATAATTACATCAATGAACAATTTCGGATGACACAAACTTCTAAATTTTTTTTTTACTTTCATCAAAATTTTCATAACCGACATATACAACAATACACGAGATTTATCGGTGAATAATCACGTGTGAATCTGCCTAGGTAAAATGACTACGATTACATTTAACTCCAATATGGTAACCTAGAGCGGAATAAACAAAACCTTTCAAACTCCTTCATCGCAAGCGACGTGGTCTCCAAGAGGAACGAGCGAACGCGAACAAATACCGTCACGTGTGCAGAGCACCCGCTGGTTTTGTTTGTACGCCGCTTGTAGTTACTAGCAGCTAGTCACGATGAACCTCACCAAATGGACAATTTGGTTACAACATTGATGTTCATTATTCGTATATTTATTTCTCAGAACCACGTTGGGTCGGGCAATGGGGTGGCCACTGCTCGGTTGAAACATAACTCGACGAGGGAGGGGGGGAGCACAGAGAACCAAACAAGCCTGAGGACTTAAAAAGACGCTGCCAAGCTTAGCAGTGTTCTTTGGATCGCTGTCTGTCTGACAGCTCTGTTTCTTCACCTGAGGACGGCTGCTTGTGTTGTGGCCGAAACGTCGTGAGAATTTTATTATTTCCCTTCTACGTGACTTTACTGAAAGAACCAGGTAACAAGCTGAGATTAGGAGCACTCACTTTAAGAGTGTGCTCTTAATCTCAGCTCGTTACCTGTATAAAAGACACCTGGGAGCCAGAAATCTTTCTGATTGAGAGGGGGTCAAATACTTATTTCCCTCATTAAAATGCAAATCAATTTATAACATTTTTGACATGCGTTTTTCTGGATTTGTTTGTTGTCATTCTGTCTCTCACTGTTCAAATAAACCTACCATTAAAATTATAGACTGATCATTTCTTTGTCAGTGGGCAAACGTACAAAATCAGCAGGGGATCAAATACTTTTTTCCCTCACTGTATACACCGTGCATTTTTACGTCTGGGAGCTGCATGGTTTAGTCCCATCCACAATGTGTTCAACCACCACACCGCAGGTCACAACAACACACTCACCCAATCACTCACTCATCACACTGCAGGTCACAACAACACACTCACCCACTCATGACACTGCAGGTCACAACAACACACCCATTCACCCACTCACCACACTGCAGGTCACAACAACACACTCACCCACTCATCACACTGCAGGTCACAGCAACACACTCACCCACTCACTCACTCATCACACTGCATGTCACAACACACTCACCCACTCACTCATCACACTGCATGTCACAACAACACACTCACCCACTCACTCATCACACTGCAGGTCACAACAACACACTCACCCACTCACTCACTACACTGCAGGTCACAGCAACACACTCACCCACTCACTCATCACACTGCAGGTCACAACAACACACTCACCCATTCACCCACTCACTACACTGCAGGTCACAACAACACACTCACCCATTCACCCACTCACTACACTGCAGGTCACAACAACACACTCACCCATTCACCCACTCACTACACTGCAGGTCACAACAACACACTCACCCATTCACCCACTCACTACACTGCAGGTCAAAACAACACACTCACCCATTCACCTACTCACTACACTGCAGGTCACAACAACACACTCACCAATTCACCCACTCACTACACTGCAGGTCACAACAACACACTCACCCACTCACTACACTGCATGTCACAACAACACACTCACCCACTCACTCATCACACTGCATGTCACAACAACACACTCACCCACTCACTCAACACACTGCAGGTCACAACAACACACTCACCCATTCACCCACTCACTACACTGCAGGTCACAACACACTCACCCATTCACCCACTCACTACACTGCAGGTCACAACAACACACTCACCCATTCACCCACTCACTACACTGCAGGTCACAACAACACACTCACCCACTCACCACACTGCAGGTCACAACAACACACTCACCCACTCACCACACCGCAGGTCACAACAACACACTCACCCAATCACTCACTCATCACACTGCAGGTCACAACAACACACTCACCCACTCCTCATCACACTGCAGGTCACAACAACACACTCACCCACTCCTCATCACACTGCAGGTCACAACACTTCTCTGCTTCTTTCTTGACACTGCTCCACTTTGAAATTCGACCCCATCATCGTCTCTCTTCCAAAATCCTTTTAATAACCTTTCTCAATGCAAGAACTTTGATAAATAGTGCCGTTTGTCGCTGGTCTCTTAACGTTTTGGGCTTTTTTTCAGCCAGCGCTCAGAAAAAATTTAAACAAAAATAAAATCCAGAGGTGTGGCCATTCATGAAGGTCACCGGTGGGGCGAGGCATCGAGGTCGCCCCACGTGAGTGCAACAATGCGGGTGAAGTACAGGTGACTTGTAAAGTACAAGCAACAGCAATGGATGGAACAGGCTCGACTGATGAAAGGCGTAGTGTCGTCGATGTTCCACGTCAAGCGACGTGGCGTGCATCCGCCGTGGCTCACAGAACGACTCTTCTTAAGAGGAGCCATCGCAACGAATCCTTAGGCCCCGCGCTCCGTCACGTGCTGGAGCCGCGTCTCCTCGCAGGCGGCTGTGCTGGCGCCGGCCCCGGCACAGGGGCGCACGGCCTCCCCGAGGGCCTTGCTCCTCAGGTGCCGCTCGAGGCAGTGCACGGCCACGTCGTCCACGGCCGAGTCAACCTTGTTGACGAAGAGGTGGTGCTGCCGCAGCGCCCAGGGGAGGTCGCCCACCCCGTTGACGCACACCCAGCGCACCACGGTGCCGCGGCAGGGCGGGTAGGCGGCCCCTTGCAGGGTGTCGCCCTCCATGTAGGACCACCGCACGAGGCGCGCGATGGCCATCATGTCCTGCACGTCGTACTTGTCGTGCGGCGGCGAGGAGCCCGGCACCCCGGGCAGGCGCTGCAGCGTCGCCCACAGGTGCTCGTCGGGGCTGAAAGTGTCCTTCTCCCACTCGATGAGCGCCCGTGCCGTGGGGTCGCTCAGCACGTGCTCGACGAAGGCGCGCGTCACCACGATGTACGCGTTCCCGGAGAACATGGGCGTGGGGATGGGTGGAGGGGACTTTCTGACGTGCGTGGCGTGCAGCTCGCCGTCCATGATCTCGTGGTGTATCTCCCAGCGCACCGTCTTGTCCCGCGGAGTGTGCAGGGACTCCATGCTGTTCTTCCCGTTGAGGGTGCGCAGCGCTCGCACCATCTCCAGGTTGGTTTTAATGGGGAAGTCCAGGCCGCACAGGTTGATGAAATACTTCCAGGGCTGCGGCGCGGCCACGAGGTCCCGCATGCAGTTGAGGTCGGCCTGCACGCGCAGCCAGGAGGTGTAGACCACGCGCTCCTGCCGCCTGGCCAGGAAGACGTTGGGGAAGCACGCGGCGAGAGCGCGCACCGCCTCCTGGTAGGGCGGCGGCGACTTCTGGTCCACGTGGAGGCAGTAGACGTTCTGCGGCGCGTAGATGGCGCGCAGCAGCCTCTCCAGCATGTCCACGCGGTGGTGGGCCACCACGGAGTAGGCGATGGGGAAGGCCGCCTCCTCGTCGCTCAGCGGCACCGTCACGTACCTCCTATCCCGCTTGAACGCGTCGCAGTCGCGCGTCATCCTCAGGTAATCGTCCTCTGCGAGCGGGCGCCGCTTGTTGAACTCGACGGTGATAGAGAGCAGCATCGCTTCGGCGATGCTCTCCTCGTCGCCTCGCACCACCGCAGAGCAGTTCACGGGGAAGCGCGGGTCCATGTCTGGCAGCTCGTAGCGGCTCAGGTCCCAGGTCTCCCCGTGTCCACGCGGCTCCCTGGGCACGCTGTGACTCCGGACGCACACGAGGAAGACCGCTCCTGTGGCGATCGCGGCGGCGCAAACGATCACCCCCTTTCTGTTCCACTTGACCGCCTGGCCCATGTTTGCGCCTGGAAATTAAAAGGAGAAATATCAAAGCCGGATTGCTCAGTATCTACGGCTACCGTATCAACACAAGCAACTGCTCGCACCGAGAGTAACACACTGTCCAACCGTGAGTGATGATAGCGTATGGGAAATTAATTAATGAAAGGTGACACCACTAGCAAAGCCAGGCACGTTAAGACAAAGTAAACAGGCGGGTCATCTCTCATGAAGGCCAGGATAGACCTCACCAGGATTCTCCTCCCCAAGTAATTTCATTTTCAGACCATTCGACCGTCAATAACCGAGGCCATTTTACATCACTGTAAAATTTATGTTTATAAATTCCTCATCCTCCTCCTCCTGCAGGTCACTACTCGTGTCCGTGTGTCTGTACGAGTGACGTACAGGGCGGCTCGGGATGACACGATATGTGCTATTCTTAACCTCATTATCGTCATAATCAACAACGCGCGAGAGTTCTGTACAATAACCACCGCTACCTGAAATTCCCAAAGCACTGGGCCGGACGATCTTCATCATTCACTGCTGTGTTTGAGGATAAACATTCAGGTTGCGTCACGATCTTTGAACATCCACCACAGTAGAGATGTGGAGTCTCGTTAGCCACGAAGATGCCTTGCGATTCTCAACCCCAGTCTTGGATCATCCTGACATTTGTTTTTCTGCTCTCCGTGGAACACTTAGCACCGTGCGGATCCCCTGCAGACCCCCTTAGCCTTGATAGCTGCTGGACCCCCGGTTGAGAATCCCTGTCCCCCATCAAGACTGAGTGTGGTCTGCCGCTGATCACAAGGCAGATGTGATGTTTGATATTTCCCCTTTGCAAGTTTGGCGGAAGTGGCTAGCGGTTGGGAGCAGGGGGTTCTCGATAAGGACACCTTGGTTGGGATCCCACTGAGCCCATGGACTGCCCCCCCCAGCATCCGTAACTGTTGCTAATCCGGCGGTGGCGGGCACTCGAGAGGTGTGTTTGTGGCCGTGGTGCCATTTATTTAGAGGCCCCATCCCGCACCCTGGCGTGGGCAGGGGCTGCTGTGGGACGTGTCCATTGCGCAAGGCCGTGTGACACAGTCACATGGCGACTGCCGTGTCAATGCCACATCGTACTACCGGGCTAGGTGGAGCGGGGAGTTCACGAGCATTGATTTAAGCTACCCCGCATCTGCTGATGAGACACTGAATGTCGAAACTGGTCCAGGGTTGTCCTTGTTTTGAACCAACGCTGCTAAAAATGCACGCACTCCCAGAAGGCCGTGTGGCTGATGGGATGTCTAAATCCATTGCTTTATTTTTTTTACGTGGCGGGACAAATATGGGATGGGAAGGAGGCGGAATCGTCTGCTTATTTATCTCTCTCTGTGGTCGCTCAAACGAACGCCGCTTGAGAGAAAGCCAGAAATGGTTGTTCAAAAGAAATGACTTCGCCATACGGGAAGGAATTTCCGCCCGTGTCTCAGTACACCGCCCGGCGCATGATCTTATAAGTGGAGACTCTTTTTTGCATCTCCCTTATATACGGTCCCTGGCCACGCTCTATTCTCGATCATTCCCGTAGGCACCAGTCCACTCGTACTGCAGGCTGACTCGAAGGTGCATTGAAAAATTTGATACTCCGACTGATGCTTCCTGTTGTTGTGGAGTAACTCATGCAGCCAGCTATGGCTCTAGGATTTGGTGTTACATGTTATTTATGTAGTTTATTGTAAAAAAATCGGTCAGTCCCTATGAGCACTGTTACGTTGCAATTATGGCTTTATTTTTTGGTGATTTCGAAAACGTTATTTGGTTTGGACATGTTTGTTTTGTTGTAGTACGGAGTTATACTGATGGCCTTAATCTAAGTTTTCTTCTGGTTGTTGTTGTTTGACTTGCATCCCACTGGGATTTTTTGCACACAGAGTTGGTGTACGGTGCTTTTATCAGGAATTTTTTGCTGTTTTTTTCATGGATTTTCTGTTTGCACAGTCACATAGTCACTTTAAGATGTTTTTCTTGTCCGTGTGTTTTTGTTTGTTGTGGTTGCACCCGATTCAAGAGCCGAATGGCTCACAGGGCTATACCAAAATAAATCAACTGAAACCCGAGACTGTCATTACAGACGTGTACACGAGTCGTCGGCTCAATGTAAACTGCTCCATGAGCCAGCCCAAACCGCAGACGTTTCGCCAGTGGGGGCCACCCGTGGCCACCTCACCACTGGGGACGTTCCGAGTTCTCTCGTGCGGCCACCAACGCGAATGACGAGAGCACAGCGCACGTGCGTGGTGACGAGGTGGGTTACTCAGTGACGAGGTGGGTTACTCAGTGACGAGGTGGGTTACTCAGTGACGAGGTGGGTTACTCAGTGACGAGGGGGGTTTATTTTGTGACGAGGTGGGTTACTCAGTGACGAGGTGGGTTACTCAGTAACGAGGTGGGTTACTCAGTGACGAGGGGGTTTATTTTGTGACGAGGTGGGTTACTCAGTGACTAGGGGGGTTATTCAGTGACGAGGTGGATTACTCAGTGACGAGGGGGTTTATTTTGTGACGAGGTGGGTTACTCAGTGACGAGGTGGGTTTATTTCGTGACGAGGGCGGTTACTCAGTGACGAGGTGGGTTACTCAGTGACGAGGTGGGTTACTCAGTGACGAGGGGGTTTATTTTGTGATGAGGTGGGTTACTCAGTGACGAGGTGGGTTACTCAGTGACGAGGGGGGTTACTCAGTGACTAGGGGGGTTACTCAGTGACGAGGGGGGTTTATTTTGTGACGAGGTGGGTTACTCAGTGACGAGGTGGGTTACTCAGTGACGAGGTGGGTTACTCAGTGACGAGGGGGGTTACTCAGTGACGAGGTGGGTTACTCAGTGACGAGGTGGGTTTATTTTATGACGAGGGGGGTTACTCAGTGACAAGGGGGGTTACTCAGTGACGAGGTGGGTTACTCAGTGACGAGGTGGGTTACTCAGTGACGAGGGGGGTTACTCAGTGACGAGGTGGGTTACTCAATGACGAGGGGGTTTATTTTGTGACGAGGTGGGTTACTCAGTGACGAGGGGGGTTACTCAGTGACGAGGGGGGTTACTCAGTGACGAGGGGGGTTACTCAGTGACGAGGTGGGTTACTCAGTGACGAGGGGGTTTATTTTGTGACGAGGTGGGTTACTCAGTGACGAGGGGGGTTACTCAGTGACGAGGGGGGTTACTCAGTGACGAGGGGGTTACTCAGTGACGAGGTGGGTTACTCAGTGACGAGGTGGGTTACTCAGCTGCTGGTGCTGCCCTGGCTCTATGCACAGGAGCGAGGAGAGAGAGGGCCTTCGCATGCGCACACGTGGCTACGTACGGCGCGAAAGAAGTTCAACAGGGACTAGATACGTCGGGCGAGTCGCAGGGCCCGCCTGCGAGAGTGAATGATTTGCCAGCGCCGACGTTCACCCTCGATTTTAAACCGGTAACACGGCGCCGTGACTGCTGATGGTAATTCGAGTGGTTTATAACCCCTGAGAAATTAAACTGGCGTGTGTGTGCCGCATGTTACACACACACAGTACACACACACACAGTACACACGCGGTACACATACACAGTACACACACGGTACACACACACAGTACACACACAGTACACACACACAGTACACAGTACACACACAGTACACACACACAGTACACACACGGTACACACACACAGTACACACGCGGTACACACACAGTACACACACACAGTACACACACGGTACACACACAGTACACACACAGTACACACGCGATACACACGCGATACACACAGTACACACACGGTACACACATAGTACACACACGGTACACACGCGATACACACACAGTACACACACACAGTACACACACAGTACACACGCGGTACACACACAGTACACACAGAGTACACACAGTACACACACACAGTACACACGCGATACACACACAGTACACACACGGTACACACACAGTGCACACGCGGTACACACACAGTACACACGCAGTACACACAGCACTGTACACGCGCCAGCCATCCACCACCGCAGAATCCCCGATGAGGCGGCCGCACAGAGCGACAACACCGACGGCAAAGACGACGACTCCGCCACTGCTCCTCGCGCGGTTACCCGGGGCTTGACCACCCTCGCCCGAGGTGAGGTCGTCCTCGTCGTCCTCGTTGCCTTGCATCCACAGCGGCAGTCGTGCGAAAGGAAACGACAAAGCCCCTCCAGTACCACGGCGTGCTCGACAGCCCCGCTGGCATTGCGAGTAACACGACACGCGTCTCGCGATGTGTGAAACGTCGGACAGAGGGCCCTTACCTCGCCACGAGGGCCGCCGAACTCGCAGCTATCCGTGGCCTCTCCTTCAGGGCAGTCGACAGAGCCCGCGAGCTGTGGCCACCAGCGACAGATGAGCGGGGAAGCGAGTGCGTGCGTGCGTGCTGCAGGTGATGATCAGGCCCCACCTCGACACCTGCCACCTCCAACCCCCCACCTCCACCACCACCCTCCCCGCAATCTGACACCGCAGCGCCACCGCTCACGCCTTCCGTATCCCTCCCAGTTCACCCACACTGGTAAACTTCGATATTCATCTGCTGTACGTCTCGGTTTGTGTGATGTGAAGAAGGGCCATGTTATTGACTAATGTGTCCAGTTTAATAATTATACTGTGTAACACAAAAAATGTTGTCCCTGGGTAGTAAGTGTTATTTTCTAATTGCCAATGCCTCAGAAGTACAGAAAATGGCTATTATTCCTCACAAACTTTGCTTTTGTGACCAGGACACTGATAATTTGAAATTTACATATTTTCAATGAGAATTCCAGATAGATTCAGTGCTGAGTAAACTTGGAGTAACTTCTCGAACATTCTAGAACTTTCCAGTAATGTAAATAGTAGTATAAATACAGGGCCCTTTAAGCCCACCAGTTAAGTTTAGTTCCAGCTGCCTCAGTGGATACATATCTGCATTTTTCTGAGATGGCATCAAGAGGCTGCAAGCATCCGGCAGACGCATTTTGCGATGTCTGCAGCCAATTTCTCAAGACAAGAGTGAAAAAGTACTCTGTGGAAGAATCTGCTAAGATGCGTGAGGCCTACAAGGCATATTTCGGCATGCCTGTCGGGGATCAAGACAAACCTTGGGGACCTCATTTCACCTGCGAGCAATGCAAAAAAAACTCTGGAAGGTAAGATGGACAATTGTTGCTCGGAATTTGATGTTATAAAATTAGTTTAAAAATTTTAATGGTAAAAGTTTTTTTTTTACAATTTTCAATGTTATTTAAAAATATATCATATATGAATAATGTTGCGAGAATCTCTTACACATTCGTCATGGGTGAAATAAATGTATTTTTTTAGGATGGTACAGAGGGGAAAAGAGAGCCATGAATTTCGCTATCCCAAGAATCTGGCGGGAACCCGCTGACCACTCAAGCAATTGCTACTTCTGCATGGTGGACCCTTCCAAACATCGGCCTGGCAAGAATGCATCTGCTATCACGTATCCGGACCTTCCTTCATCCATTGCCCCGGTGCCACACTGCCGTCTTTAGAAGAGAGCAGCAAGTCGGAGAGCGAGGAATATGTTGTAGATCTAGATGACAATTTCAGAGGTGGAGCTGAGGAGAGAAACCCATACTACCCCAACCAAAAAGACCTCAATGACTTGATCAGAGATCTTGGTCTCACCAAGTCCAATGCCGAGCTTTTAACGTCTAGGCTCAAGCAGTGGAACTTGTTGGATGAAAGTGTGCAAGTCGCAGATCAGAGGAAGCGTCACCAATCTTCTTGCAGCTTCTTCACCCGTCAAGATGGGCTCTGCTTCTGCCACAATGTGACCAATCTGTTTGAGGCAATCGGAATCGCCTATAACCAGAATGTGTGGCGCCTCTTCATTGACAGCTCATCCAGGAGCCTCAAAGCCGTGCTGATCTTTAATGGTAACAAGTACCCGTCTCTTCCCCTGGCTCACTCGGTGCACCTCAAAGAGGATTACAACAGCATCAAGACCTTGCTGTATGCTTTGAAGTATGATGAGTATGGCTGGGAGGTCATCGGAGACTTCAAAATGGTAGCATTCCTGATGGGTCTCCAAGGCGGTTTTACCAAGTTTCCCTGCTATTTTTGCCTTTGGGACAGCTGGGACACCAAGGCACACTACCACTAGTGGGACTGGCCAGGAACAGCGGATCGAGTTCAATGTGGGCAGGAACAACGTCAAGTGGGAGCCACTGGTGGACCCCCAGAAGGTGCTGATGCCACCACTGTACATCAAATTTGGCCTCATTAAACAATTTGTCAGAGCTGAAAATAAGGAGTCGGCAGCCTTCAAGTACCTTCAAGACTACTTCCCTAAGCTGCCTGAGGCAAAGGTCAAAGCCGGTGTCTTCGTCGGACCAAAGATAAAGAAGATCCTGGAGTGCAATGAATTCCCCAAGAAGCTCACTAGTAAGGAGAAAGTGGCTTGGAACAGCTTTGTCGCAGTGGTTTGGGGCTTCCTGGGCAATCAGAAGGCCAAAAACTATGTGGAGCTATATTCTTAGCTCTTTCGGTAAAGTCACGTTGAAGGGAAACAATAAAACAATAAATTATATATAAAACAATAAAAATTCTCACGACGTTTCGACCATAACACAAACGGTCATCATCAGGTTTGTGTTATGGTCGAAACGTCGTGAGAATTTGTATTGTTTTATATATATAATTTATTGTTTTATTGTTTCCCTTCAACGTGACTTTACCGAAAGAGCTAAGAATATGAATTACTGCAGTCACGAAAGCTTTAAATCAAACTATGTGGAGCTAGTTGAGACTGGTGAAGGACTACGGCACAATGGACTGGAGGATGTCCCTCAAAGTCCACATCCTTGATGCTCATCTTGATAAATTTAAGGAGAACATGGGAGCGTACTCGGAGGAGCAGGGTGAGCGCTTACACCAGGATAAACTGGACTTTGAACGCCGCTACCAAGGATAGTATAACGAGAACATGATGGGAGAATACATTTGGGGGCTGATTTGTGAAAGTGATTTACAGTATAATCGTACATCTCGACAAACTACTCACCTCTAAAGCTTTTGTAGTCATTTTTGTATTACTTTAGTATAAATACATGTTAATTTCGATTCATGTTCTTTTTTTCTGACTTTATGTGAACGAAAAGACACAAATTCGACCGTTTTCTCATTGAAAATAGGTACATTTCAAAATATCACTGTCCTGGTCACAAAAGCAAGTTTGTGGGGAATAATAGCCATTTTCTATACTTTTTAGGCATAAGCAATAAAAAAATAACACTTCCTACTTAGGGACAAAAATTGTGTTCCAGTGTTCTTTGTGGTTATGCACCCGTGCCAACGCAGCAGCAGCATCACCAAATAATGCACCAGTCCTATCGGACGTAGGTTACGTGTTTAATATCAATGCGATAAGGCATTGCCATGCAAACCCATGTGAATGGGCAGGAGCGCACACCGGAGGGTGTTGATGTTCACAGATGATGTAGGGCTCACAGCCAGAGCCAAGGTGACACGTCTACACAATTGGTCCGCTGAACACTCCCGTTGCTTTGACAGATCTGGGGGTAACATCGTGGTGCAGTATATGAGGGCTGCTCATTCATCCGCGCTTCATGTTGCGCGTTATTGAGAGAGGATGAGCGATCAGCGACCAACTCTCGTAAGAGTCTATAACCCACCGTAAAGAAGAGAAGTTGGTGTCGACTTCCTTCGTCATTCCCCAACGACGCGTGCATGCGATACTCGTGTCGTGATGACACCGCAACCACCCTCAACCCGGCGACATCTTGCGGGCGCGCATCACGCGAGGGGAGGGATTGGAGGGAGCCGCGCCCGCCCTCCCGCTGCTAGATTCGTAATGTCGAGCCAAGAGATAGTTGTGACACAATGTACATACAGATGTACAAAGCGATGGTGGGTCGCGGCCTTCCCTCGTTTGCGCGGGGCGTGATCCTCGTGTCGCGACAAAGCCGGTCGCGACTCCGGGTCGTTCGTCCCGCCTCGGTCTGCGCGGCGGGACACGCCGCGTGCTCCGAGCCTCCTGCTGGTCCAGCACGTTGTTTGAACGTTCGCCGTCGGCGCGCCTGTCCCCGTGGCTTTGGCACACCCACCTTACCCTCGCAGCTCGCTTTGCCAAGTCACATTTGTCTGGATTTCAAAGCGGACTTGTTCGGGGTAACATTATTGCACCGAATGTAACGTTGACTTTCGTTCGTTCTCTGTTCTCGATATTCTGTTACGCGATTGCCATAATTACTGTAATACGTGTTGTTTTTGGCCAAATTTCTATTTGCTGAGTAAAGTTACTTTGTTTCCGTGTTAATTGACTTTACCATGTCGGTGACCCAAATCACTGTTATCGCGAGGTTATCACATGGCCGCTCACCTAGTTACGCAATAATAAACTGGACACAGATGAAAAAAGAGCTTTATAGCTCATCGGATTCCTCCAGTATAAAAACAGATGCTGAAACGTGAAAGTGGAACCCAGAGAAACCACGTGACCGTCCCGGCGGCAGCACGTGTGCGCGCGTCCTCCCCCAGAAGAACGCAACTCGCACGACCCCTGGCTCACGCCCTCGACTCGCCTCGACACGTGCGGGAACCCACCTGCACACCCCGGCGAAGACGGAGTGCGGGTTCCCCACCAGGCCCGGGCCCTGCCCAGTTCCACAATCCTCTCTCCCCTGTGGTGCGTTGGGGCTCAGCGCGCGACGCGGGATCGTTGACGGCTGGAGGTGCGAGTGACAGGCTCGGGATTGTCGTGGAATGTGCATACAATGGGCTCGAGCGATACTAGGAGCGAGTCGTGTTGTGGTGGGGTAAGGCGTTTGGCGTCACGTGGTCGCGTGCATCTGCAGTCGTGAGATCGGGCGCCGTTTGTCCAAGTGGTGATCTAGGAATGTAATGACGCAGACTGTAACCATGTCCGTTTGCATCATTGGGAAGACAGTTGGAGCTTCTGCCGGTCAGTGCCCCCTTATCGGCACTCGTCGTCTGGCACAAGCTCCGCAGAGACGTCGGCACCACTCCGTGACACCTGCTGCTGGATGTTAATCGAGGCGTGTGTGTACTCGTGGAGGGTGACAGGTGTAGGATGGAGGTGTGCAAGCGCGTCGAGTAGCTGGGGTGTGCTGAGAGAGGGGTGTCGAATTATGATTGGTGAGGATTCTGCTCGTTTACCCGTGACAAACTTCACTGAGCTTCGCCACTCTGGAAGAAACCAGCCGTAGTGAGTCAGTGCGGATCGAGCTGGGGAAGGGGAGGAATGGTCCAGATTTGTGGCACTGGAGATTCCTGCCAAATTGCCAGTCATGGCCAACCTTTGCTCTGTATGAACTCAGTTTAGCCATTTGCGGGTATTTTGTTTATTTGGACTGACGCAGTCACACAATGATCTCATTCTTGCGAACGACGTCACTGCACCTTTGTCCACCGCGAAGTGGACAGCGATTCGCATTTTGCGTTTATACATCCGCAGTGATAACCAGGGCGGCTGCTCGACTCGAACCGCGAACCTCCGAAACAAGCCGCGTGGCCGGGGGCGTGTGGATGAGGGCGAGCGATATTTGGAACCTCGGTCGTGTGGGGTGCCACGTGGACACGTCTGGTTGGGCGGCAGCCCAGTCTAGTCTACCTGGACCCCCGTGAGAAAACGGTCTTCCGAGCTCGTCAGGCGCTCCCAGTGTACGCCTCGTGTCCTTGTCCTCCAAGCACGTCTCTGCCGTGCATCAAGTCGGTAAATGACGCGATAACCCCACCGATTAGAACAAAAGTGCCGGCTAAGAAAACGACATCAAACACAGCAATGCGGAGACAGCACACCCGGCCCATTGTGCGCTTTGCAATAAACCATCGTCATATTCTTAGCTCTTTCGGTAAAGTCACGTTGAAGAGAAACAATAAAATAATAAAATATATATAAAACAATAAAAAAATCTCACGACGTTTCGACCGTTTGTGTTATGGCCGAAACGTGAGAATTTTTATTGTTTGATATATATTTTATTATTTTATTGTTTCTCTTCAACGTGACTTTACCGAAAGAGCTAAGATAATGAATTACTGCAGTCACGAAAGCTTTAAATCAAAATTAAACCATCGTCAGTTAGACAGTCTGGCCCCTTCACCTGATGAAGGCCACTTGTGTTGTGGCCGAAACGTCGTGATTTTTGTTGTTTTATTTTTTACCTACGTGACTTTACCGAATAGAACCAAAGAGTATGGATCCTTGCAGTCACGAAAGCTTTCAATCTATAATTGAGGAAACGTACTCTTTGGTTCTTTCGGTAAAGTCACGTAGGTGAAAAAATATATAGAAATAAATAAATCACGACGTTTCGATTGCAACACAAGCAATAATCATCATCAGGTGTGATAACCACAGCAAGGATATGTATGCTGAAGTGGGAGAGAGACCAGGGTTAGGGCAGTTAAATAAGTCAGAGAGGGGGAGGGTAGGGGAGGGTGCGAGGGGTGAGTAAACTGCCGAGAGGACGGATATAAATTGAGCAATCATTGGAAAGATGTTATTAACCAAGTAAAATTTAACTGTTCATAGTTGTTCCATCTTATTTACCGGGTATTAGTCTATTTTACCGAGTTAATTGCATCCTTAGCGTTTAGCAGTGCGGCTTTAGATGTCATCAACTATCTTGGCAACAATCATGTTGCCCTTTTACTCTCAGCGTCTCTGTTGTACCTGCAGTTTACTCACTCCTCGCACCCCTCCCCTGCCCCCCTGACTTATTTAACTGCCCTAACCCTGGTCTCTCTCCCACTTCAGTATAAATTTCCTTGCCGTGGTTATCACACCTGTTGATGATGATTGCTTGTGTTGCAATCGAAACGTCGTGATTGATTTATTTAACATTATTTACTATTTTTTTACCTACGTCACTTTACCGAAAGAACCAAAGAGTATGGATCCTTGCACTCACGAAAACTTCAAATCTAGATTGAGGAAACGTGATCGGCAGCAGCAGGGATGGAGCGATACGAGAGCTGTGACGTGGCTTCATCATAAATCGTGACTTGGCAGCGCAGTCACAATGTAAATGTAGAAGGCACAATTCATCCAGGGATCTAAGTGCACCACGCACGAAGTTAGGAAATATAAATACTACAAAGTCCAGCATCCTCTGGTCGTAGATGGGAAATGTAGGTCAGGCGAAAGAGACCGAAACAGGGCGAGTGAGCTTCCCTCTCTAGTCACTGTTGGTGCGGAGGCGTTCTGTTGTCGTGGCGCAGCGCATATTTATCAGCCACCACAGGTGGAGTCCAGATCTCGGCACGTGGAGCAGAGATGTAAATAAATCAGCGACTTGGAGCGGTCGTGGCGGTACCTGCAGGGGGTATCAGTTGTTGAATGTAAATGGTGCAAGGTCGTTTAAGGCCTCGTAGGTCAGCGGCAATAATGTACATTGTACCCAAAACTTAACGGGACGCCAATAACGAGATGTCATTATTAGGGGTGGCAATGTGCTCACGGGATGACGTTTGGGCGAGCATCCTGGCAGCCGCGTTCCGGGGCCAGCAGGAGAGGCACCGAAGCTCTTTGGCGTTGCAGAAAGCATGCACAAAATATTTTATGGGGTGACGCGATTTCAATCGCAACTTTAATGCAAGGAAGTCATCCACAATTCACGAAGCCTGAATGTGGGCTAGACCGGTTTAGCCAGTTCTATGTTGAGAAAAGGAGCGGCTGCATGCTGGGTGCTGCTGCTGGGTGGTGCTGGGCCGCGCGTGACGGATCACGAGTGGTCATAGAGTAGGCAGAAGTTCCACCTGTCAAATGAAATCGTAACCAGTGCAATACGAGCCACGTTTGATTTTGGCTCAGGCTACGCAAGTGGTTTTAATGCCAAAATGTCAGGTGGTGGTGGAGGGATGACGATGAGAATTTGTAACAAAAAAAACCTCTCATGTGGCCTAACACCCACAAACAAACGTGGATCGGTTTCTGTCTGTATTATGGAATGGATCAGAGCTGGTGCCAAACAACTGGAAAATACATTGGCATTTGAGCATCAAGTATCTGAGATGGATGCTGGGAATTTCTTGGAAAGACAGAAGCAATGCATAAGCCGGGAAGAGAACGTGGCAGGTGAGTGGTGTCGATGGGATCTGGTGGACGAGGCCGTTGTGTGCAGGATGGGGGAGGGCTGATTGCTGAGACAGGCATCAGAGTGGTCTCCATGAGGGAAGAGAACATCCAAGAGCAGATGACGGTAGATGACTGTCAGGGCAGATCTTGGCGGCCGCGTGTTGACTGCAGCAGCTGTGGGATCTGGCGGAGGGGAGAAGGCGCTGGCAGCGAGGTGTGGGTGGCATCGACCTCTTTGACCATGATGACATCCTGGTCTTGAATCATCTTGGAGATGACGAGAAGCCACCTGGATGGGATGGTGCAGTTGAAATATGACCACCTTGGAGCCCCCTTTTTACTCCGGTTACACCGGCATTAAAGAGGAGCCGCGGGAGAGTCGGATCTTCGCTGTGCTCACCGCAGGGAGCAGTCAAACAAATTAAAGTGAACATGTGGGCGAGAGGTCACGCGACAGCTTCCAGTCAATCCCTGCGGAATAAGAAACCAGCGCCACCACGAACCCGACCTAACAAATCACCAACACCAAATAAACGGTAACCCCAGCGTGAGCATAACGATAACCCCCCACTCAAAACATTACACTAGACCCCAAACCACAACCTAAACATCCTCATCCCCAACGCCAATCTAATCCCAACTCTAATCTTAACTTTACTAAAGTACGGATGGAGGCAGCAGCCAGGAGGAGCGTTGGTGCCGTGGTTAAGAGTCAAGTTGGGGGGTAACGTGAGAGTTTGGTGAAGGCCATAGCCCAGCGAAAGGCAATCAGTCCATAATCACAGACCCACCGCCAACATCCCGAACGTCTGCTGGGTCATGAGAATGATCCACACCAGGGTGTAATCTAGGCCATAGCAAGTCAAGACAATTGCTCTGACACCACTGCCAGTTTTACTCCAATCTTCATTACGCACATATGGGGTGAGAGCGGAGAGCAGAATGCAAGAGACAAGCTGGTCGCATCTTTGCGCATTTTGTTTAGCGTTGACGTTTGTTTAAAGTTTATTGAACATTCTCTGTATCGTCCCCCCCCCTGCCCCCGCCCCGAGTTTTTGTATGCCCCCCACCGTGAGGCAAGGTCACGCTGCGGGGCTGGGGTGTGGTGGTTCCACGAACACCAGGGGAACCTGCTCACCATCGGATGACTAATCTAAATCATTCCGCAATGCGTTTAGTTTAATCTCATCAACATTCCTTAAAACCATTTTATACAGTAGATTCCACCTCCTATTGCAACCTTATCCCCAACAACCTCAATAAAAACGCATAAACTAAAAACAAGTAAAGTGATTTTAAAAACCAGCACCGCACAGGGACGCGGGAGTGCGCTTGGCGGTGGAGCGAGCGTCAGAGGCGACGAGCGGTGTGTGCTCGCGCCACGCTCGTGACATTCCTAGCGGTGACCGGGAACCCCAAGGACTCGAGATTTCCGACGACGAGCCGCGGTCTTGCCGCCCACGTGCTGGCACGTCCCCCCCCCCCCCCCCCCCCACACTTCACCCTCCAACGTCCTTGCGTCCCTCGGCAACGCGAGGATCGTGAATCGCGACGTTGCCGTTGCACGGTCCGCGCGTTCCCGGCTTCGGGCGCCTCCTGCCGTGCCCCGACACCATCTCGATGATCCTCTCCGTGCCGGACCCCACCGCCCCGCAACCGAACCCCCCCTCTCCCGGCGGGGTCCACAGCGAGCGACCCTACGCGAATAGCCGACCGTCGCCGCCGGCGCCACCGCCGCCGTCCTCGGGCTCGCTGTCGGAGGACGAGGGCAGGTGCTTGCCGTGGTCGTAGCGGCGGTACACCGTGCCGTCGCCGCTTGTGTACACGACGTCGTCGTCGTCGTCGCCGCTCTCGGCGGGGTCGTCGTGGAAGCGGCTGTGTTCGTAGCGGCCCTCGCCGCGCTCCGCGCGCAGGCGCACGCCGTCGCGCTCCGCGTCGTAGAAGGGCTTGGTGGCGGTCGTGGCGATCGCCGTGCCGCCCCCGCTGCTGCCCCCCAGCTTCTCGTAGCTGGTGCGGGACCAGCACAGCTTGCGGCGCGCGCGAGCCCGCAGCAGCAGCGCCGCGCCGGCGCCCACGGCCATCAGCGAGAGCACCAGCAGCGCCGTCAGCGCCGCGTGACTCTTCCGGCCCAAGGAGGCTTCCCCCGACGGCTGCGTGTCCGGCGCCCCCACCTGACGTCCCGCGCTCACGGGGGGCGGGGGCACGCACTTGCCTGCGCGCACGCACGCAGCCGGGGAGGAAGGGATTCCGTTCGCATTTTAACAGCGCGGCTGAACAGAGAGGGAAGCCCTCGTAATGACGCGAGGTCGAGAGCTCAAATCCCAGCCACGATCGACACGGTATTATCATCCTGACTCAGAGGTCGGTAAAATGAATACCGCTAAGTGAGGCTGTTCCACGTGAATTCAGTGATGGAGATGCACAGCCGAGTGCCAATCTCCCCACACAGTGCGAGTCATGGGGGTTATTTGACCATACTTCACCATGCTGGTCCCTGCAGGTTGCAAAGGTAGAGAGTATGGAGTCAGATATAATGATGGATGTTGCTGCACTGTCCGCTTGCTGTCCAGACAATGATATATCCCCAAATTTCCTTTGGAGACAGAGGTTAGAGTGTGGGGCTTGGTTTCAGTGGAGGCAGTGATGGAATAAGCGAGAGTGGGGATTGGTTTGCCAGCAGGAGGTGGTGATCGACGATGGTGCAAATGAGGCGATGGATGAAGTGGTGGATGAGGGCTGTCGCTGCAGTGGTGGCACAGCCGTGCGTGCGCTCGTTTTTGGAGCGTGCGAGTTTGTTTATTGGTGCGTGCGTGCTCTCACTCGTTCCCTCGCGGCAGAAACAGCACTCGGCGCCGCCGTTGCCGCCCTGGAGGCAGCAGGGCAGGCAGCGGCGCTCGCTCACGTTGAGGGCCAAGTGCGGGTGGCACTCCAGGCAGTCGTGGCCCACGGGGCCCGTGCAGCGCAGGCACGACTCGTCGCACGGCTTGCACGCACCCTGACCGGACGGGGAGGGGGGAGGGGGACACTCTTCAGAAGATGCCGCAGTAGTTGCTCGAGAAGACGTCTTTAAAATCACGATTGCCAACCGCAGGTTCTTGGGCCCAAACTTGCCAGGTGGCGGGCCCAGTGGTCAAGTTGATGTTGTTGAACCAGAAGAGAATGCAAGAGAGACCAGGAGGAGTCTCATTTGCAAGATGGACCTGGCTGGGTGTCAACTGATGCCCTTTTGCAAACGAGGTTTCAGCGAGGGATTTTTCCAGAAAAATATTTATTAAAAAAAATGTATCACATCCTGGTTGGGTGTCAAGTCAGTCCACTATCCCCTCTGGGGTCGAAGGTGAATACCACTGTGGGGAAGTCGACAGTGGTTCTCCTATTGATAAGACTCACCCCCTGCCATAGGAATGTGGAACATCCACCACAACTCAGGGCTGTAACACAGAAGATGCGCAATGCCTCAACGCTCATTTGAGCAGCACTTAGATTGTGAGCAGGGTTCACGGCCGGGTGGGAGAGAGGGTCACGGTGGAACGGCTGAGGGCCAGCTACCTTCTCAGTGAAGAAGTTGTTCTCCGAGCACGCCGGGTAGCAGATACCGTTCTGGAGCTCGGCACCCCACTCACAGGTGAGGCAGTCCTTTGCGCCGCCTCCTGCGGAGACACACCCAGCCGCCGGAGGCAACACGTGAGCGACGCGTCAGCGACACACGCGAGCACAATCGGAGCAGAGTCGTGGTGGTCACACCGCATCTTTACCAATCTTCCAATTCTCATTTGTTGGGATCAACTTGGGGAGGACCTCTTAACCTCTTGTATCCCTGTGTACCAAATCCCATGAAGGCCACTTCATCCAAAGCCTCTCGATGAGATCCTCTGGGCATCATGGACGATATCCCAACCAGGAGGCCGATCCTCTGGATATCCAAACCAGGAGGCAGAATCTCCGCATATCCCAAGCAAAACTTTTAACTATCCTAGTCGGAGCCTTTGGATATCTCATCCAGATCTTCTGGGCACGGCCCCGGGCTCACCTCTGCAGGAGCGGCAGCTGCGGTGGCAGGTGAGGCAGGTGTCGTCGTGCCCTGGGAAGTAGCCGTACGTGGGGCAGCCGCCTTCCACGCAGCGGCGCTCGTCGGCCAGCATCACGGAGCCCCGGGGGCAGCTCAGGCAGTCGGCGGGGGACGGCCCCGAGCAGTCGCCGCACGAGGCGTGGCACGGCGCGCAGGCCGAGGCCTCCTCGTCGCCGTAGTGCCTGCCGGCGGTGGGGGCGCGGTGCCGCACGGTGCCGCACGGTGCCGCACGGTTAGCGAGTTGGCGCATATGCACGCATTCGGCCTCCTCCGCACATTTGGCCCTCAGCGTAATACACATCCCATTAGCAATGCGACATTCCTTCTAGAAGTGCATGCTTGTTCAGAAGCAATGCTTCTGAACAAGCAAACTGTTTTGTTACCCAGTGTGCAGTTTGTTCAGCACAGCAAGGACTAAGGCGATGTAACAACGTGGGTTTTCGCAGCTGATATTACGATTCGCAATCGATTTTTTGGTGCAAGGGCATGTAATTATTTAGCCAAATGTGTGTCGTACGACCCTCCGCCACCAGACACAGCCAAACAAACAAAACTGCCACGTGTCCAAGTGTTCACCGGCGCGCCGATCATTTCTTCTCGCTCACAACGGGTGAAGAACAATTGTCACAACCAAGATTTATCAGCAATCGAATACGGCGCTTCGCTCGAAACTGCACCGAGCATCTTCAAGCGGGAAGGCCGGCAAGTGAAGGCGATCACCTGGGCGGGCAGGAGAAGTCGCAGTGGCCGTTGTTGAGGCGGTAGGCACTGCTGACGCACGCCGTGCAGTCTGCGGCGGCCGCTCCCCTGCAGGTGGCGCAAGCCGGGTGGCACCGCGCGCAGGAGCCATCTCCCCCGGCAGGGTAGTGCCCGTCGGGGCACGACGACAGGCACGTGCCGTCTGCACGCGCCGGCGCAGGGGGTGGGGGCAGGGCGATCGGCGAGTACGGAACGGCGCAACTGCATGGCAACACTCCAACAATTTCGACTTAAAGCTTTCATGACCGCAGGGATTCATCTTCTTGGTTCTTTCGGTAACGTCACGTAGAAGGGAAATAATAAAATAATAAAAAAACAATTAAATTCTCACGACGTTTCGATTGCAACACAAGCAATCATCATCACCTGATGATGATCACCTGATGATGATCGCTTTACCGAAAGAACCAAGAATATAATAACACTCCAACAAGTTTTTTTTTCAGTAGAGGACGATGTTGCTGCTGTGTGCAATCCCAATTCAACGATTGAATTTTCAGGTAATGGAGGAAATCCATGCAGAAGCGGAAGAGAACATAAACGTTTTCACGCAGAAATGTGCCCGATTCGGAAATCAAACACAAGCCCTTCCTTACCACCGTGCCACCCTGCCACCCGCTTTTAATTCCACACGATTAGTCTCAACCTGGACGGCTGCATTGCTTTTCCCGGCCCTGCCACCAAATCCCCAGCAATTGTCACGCGGACTCCTGTGCGCGTCAAACGCCGAGGTCACTCGGTGGCGAATAGCTCTGGGAGGAAGGATCCCGCGGTGGCGAATAGCTCTGGGAGGAAGGGTCCCGTGGTGGCGCTCACTGTAAAGGAAGGCCCCTCGAGCGCAGGACCGGCAGTCACGGTCCGACGGGCCCTGGCACGCCGCGCACGTCCCGTCGCACGTGCCGCAGGAGCCATCGTCCTCCCGGCGGTAGGAGCCGGGCGGGCACGCGGGGGGGGGGCGACGTGGCGGGCGCGGGATCCTCCTCCTCCTCCGCGGAGCACAGGCCGGTGTCCGGGTCGGGCTCCCCGCCGTTGGAGGCGCACGTGGCGCACTCCGCGGCCGTGGGGCCCGTGCAACTCTCGCACGATTGGTCGCAGTCTGAGAGAGCACCGAACGCGCACACGCGCACACAAGGACAACCGTCAACCCTCAAATATTTGTTTCGCGTGGTATCCGCGACAGTCCCGGACCACTTCCCACGGCCTCGCGGACCCCACTGCCGGTGGGTCACGCGCGCGTGCCGGCGGGCTGGCGCGCACGCCCCCCCCCCCCCCCCCCGGCTCACCCTGGCAGTCCCCCGTGCCGGCGTCGTAGAAGGCGTGCCGCGGGCACTCCTCGGAGCAGCGGCCCTCGTAGAGGCGCGGCCGGCCCGGCGGGCAGCGCTCGCAGTCGTCCTCGCCGGGACCCGAGCAGGTGGCGCAGCTCTCCTGGCAGCCCAGGCAGCGGCCCTCATCGACGCCCTCGTAGTACCCGTCGGGGCACACCACGTAGCACTTGCCCCCCAGCAGGGAGTACAGGTAGCTGCACTCTGCGCGGGCAGTGGGAGGGGGACAGGAGGGGGCAGAACACGAGGGGTGACGCGGCATGCAGAGAGAAACGCCGTCGGACGTCGTGCTGAACGGCACGAGCGACGGCCCGAGCATGCGCCGTTACCATCATCGCCGTTGTTGACAAAACGCCGTGCGTGCACACACACACACAGTTTACAACCAAGCGAGAGCCGTTTGAGAAACAGTTCTCCGTTGCAAGCAGTGCCGGATTAAGCTAGTGCGGGGCCTGTAGCATATGTTATAAAGGGGCTTTCAATTAAAAAAAATACATGAAAACACCATTTTTTTACTTGCACAGTAAAGTAATTGTATGTTTTCATTTGCTATACAGCAAGATAATACGACAAATCGCTAACATTAAACACCCAGGCGTTCATAAAAGTTCAAGGCAGTATAGTACTATAGTAATAGAACAAGTGCAGAATCACCGAACCAGAATTGACAGCTTGAAAGCATTTAGCACAGGGCCCTTGAAAGTGCAGGGCCCGTAGCATATGCTACTTGTGCTACTAGCAAAATCCGGCACTGGTTGCAAGAGACCATTCGAGATCATTGCCGCCACCGACGCTACATACTGGCGCAGGCTGTCGCGTTGGTGCAGGCCTCGCAGTGCTGCGGGCAGTGCCGACACTCGCCGTCCGTGCCGGCGAAGTAGCGCTCTCGGCAGCCCTGGCGGCACACGCCTCCGTCGAGCAGCAGGCCGCCGGCACACGTCACGCACGCGGCGGCCTCCCCCTCGCACGTGGCGCACGCGGCGTCGCACGGCACGCACGCCCCCTCCTCAGGAGACTCGAAGTAGTGCCTGGGAGGCGTCGGAGCGAGCGCGGGGGAGATGGAGAGAGCGAGAGAATCGTCGTTAGCCACGTGCTAGGCCACCAGGTTTGACTTCCTCGAGGTGGCCAAAGAGAGGTCAAAGCTGGTAGTCGTATTAAAACCAAGTTCCACAGGATATACTCCTTAGAGCAAATTTAAAGTATCCTGCAGGCGATTCGGCAATCCCAGGCGCGACGAGAGCTGCGGAAGAGAGCTCACTCGGGGCACTCTGCGATGCAGCTGCCCAGGTGGAGGTAGTAGGCGAGCGCGGCGTCCTCAGGCTGCCAGCAGGCCTCGCACGTCAGCCCCTCGCTCCCCCCCGCCGCCGCCCCGTCCGCCACGCACTGGCGGCAGCCCTCGGGGCACTCCTCACACTCGCGCGTGTCCTCGCTCCCCACGAAGCCCTCGGGGCACGAGGACACGCACGTCGTCTGCTCGTCCAGGAACCTCCCTGCGGTGTCAGCGGAGGACACGGGCGGACACACGTGCGCACGAGTCGCACGCGCCGCAAAGACTGTGCACCACGTATGCACTCCAGCAAGCGCACACCACGCGTACAGCCGGATCACACGCGCACAGCTCGCCACCTAACCTTGTACGCTGCACGTGCACACCTCGCATGCGTACAACAACGTAGGGGCCACGCCGCATGCACCGTCCCAATCCTCCACAAGCGTACGTCCTCGAATTCACCACTTCAGCAACAAGTGAAGACCGGCTGCACGTAGGCACTTGCAAAGGTTTCACCTGCGCCGGTTGACAGAGCAACCAACCCCGAGGTACGTCACGCAGGCTGGCAAACTCATGCGCCCACCCGCCTCCCCCGTGCCCGTGGGAACTCACCCGCCGCACAGGACGTGCACTGCTCCGGGTTGGGCCCAAAGCACTCGGCGCAGTACGGACTGCAGCGGCGGCACCCGGTGGAGGTGTCTGCACGGGAACATCATAGGCACAGAGACGCACACCGACGTCCACGTTAAGGAGGCACAGATCGGCTGGCATGGCACAGTGCTGATGTTTACGCATGATGCGTAAACCTCCGATTAGCACGGTTGGCTACGTACGGTGCGAAAGAAGTTCAATATATTTACTTGGTATTCCGGCCGTGGAATAACCATCACATCACGGCAGTGTCCTTGGCTTAACGATGACAACTTGATTTAAATGTAGTGACTGAGATTGTCACTGTGGTGCCGGGCCTGCGAGGCCACGGCGGGATGTCTACTGTTGTGTGTACACCCCGGACACGGGGTGTAGCACCAGCCCTAGTGGGGGCTTGGGCGAGTGCTGGTTCAGCGCGGTGGCACCACGCACAGCGTGCAGTGCGGGCTCCCGTTGAGAGAGCGGCGAGAGAGTGTCAGCCAGCTAGGGTTACGTTGGGGGCATGATACTCTGGCTGACCTTTGGACATGTGACCGGTGGAGGGGGCCAATGGGTGGTCACATGGTCCGAGAAGAACTCTCGAGAGCCTTCGGACAAGGGCGAGAGAGATCGAGAAGGTGGGCGGGGCATGAGGCGGAGCCAGCCCCAGCCCTGCCCGATATAAGGGGGGGGGGACCCCGAGAGGGGCTTGGGGTTCTTGCAGTTGGAGAGGGAGGAGATCCACGTCAAGCTTGAAAAAGCCTCCAGCCACGCGGTCCGGGACCCAGCTTGTGGTCCGTACCGGGATAGCAGAACCGTGTCTAGTTCTGCTGTAGCGTGGCGAGTTGGGGTGTCACTAGCCTGGAGCGTGTTGTGTCACTAGCCTGGAGCGTGTTGTGTCACCAGCCTGGAGCGTGTTGTGTCACCAGCCTGGAGCGTGTTGTGTCACCAGCCTGGAGCGTGTTGTGTCACCAGCCTGGAGCGTGTTGTGTCACCAGCCTGGAGCGTGTTGTGTCACCAGCCTGGAGCGTGTTGTGTCACTAGCCTGGAGCGTGCTGTCTCACTAGCCTGGAGCGTGCTGTCTCACTAGCCTGGAGTGTGTTGTGTCACTAGCCTGGAGTGTGTTGTGTCACCAGCCTGGAGCGTGTTGTGTCACTAGCCTGGAGCGTGTTGTGTCACCAGCCTGGAGCGTGTTGTGTCACTAGCCTGGAGCGTGTTGTGTCACTAGCCTGGAGCGTGCTGTGTCACTAGCCTGGAGTGTGTTGTGTCACTATCCTGGAGTGTGTTGTGTCACTATCCTGGAGTGTGTTGTGTCACTATCCTCGAGTGTGTTGTGTCACTATCCTCGAGTGTGTTGTGTCACTATCCTCGAGTGTGTTGTGTCACTATCCTGGAGTGTGTTGTGTCACTATCCTGGAGTGTGTTGTGCTAAGAGTTTAATAAAACGTGTTTTTCCCAAGACGTCTGCAACTCAGTTGGACTCGCTGCATAAACGTAGTTCACAAAAGCCAGCTAGACAGTTGGGAGTTCAAAATCCTGTTTGGAGGTTGACTCGGCCCATCATGGCTCCGGGGTCAATAAAATGAGTACCACTCTGTGGGGGGAATCAACAGTGCGTTGTTCTACGAGAAAGACTCGATCCCACCATGGCAACATGGAAAATCCACCCCTGGCCTCAGGGGCTGCACACAGGAGATGAAGAGGAGAGTCGCCGCACGTTACCACTGAACTCCCCGGAGGCGCACTCCTCGAGGTGCTGGCAGTGCCCGGCGTCCAGGAAGCTGCCCTGGGGGCACGAGTCGCACTCCTCGGCGCCGGGGCCAGAGCAGCTCTCGCACGACTCGTGGCACGGCTCACAGCGGCGCGCGGTTCCATTCACGAACATCTTCGGGAGGCACCTCGTCACGCAGTGTTCACCTGCGTGGCAGCGACGGCGGCAAAACGTCAACCCTCCCCACGCAGTGGCGAGCGGGCGATTTGGAAGTGGGCGAGAAATTTGGAGAACGGGTAAGGCGAGTGGGCGTGCGGGCGATTTGGGGGCGTGCGGGCGATTTGGGGGCGAGCGCGGTCACTCACGCAGGTGCAGGTGGTCGGAGGGGCAGGTGCGGCACGTCTCCGCGTCGACGCAGTCCAGGCAGGAGCTGCCGCAGTTGGTGCACTGCCCCGTCTGGAGGTCCCCGTACATCTCCCGCGGGCACAAGTGGTGGCACCGCGCTCGCAGCCTACGCAAGAGATGAAAGGTTGTGCTAGCGAGCACCTATCGAGGCCGGCACAGTGGACCAGGGTGCTGGTGGGGAGTGTCACACCCGGCCGTCTTTGTCTCCCAAATGGCAATTTTACACACCACACCAGATATTTATTTGAGGTCGAGTCGACCTAGGGGAGGCCCAGGACCGGTTCAGATATTCTTCACGGATATTGGCTACGATTGGGAATCTCTGTGTGCCGGGTCCGTAATGCGGTACACTAAGCACTACACTCCTGCTTGCGCACGCATGTCCACTCGCGCCTGCTCCCATCACCGCTTCCTGCTTCTACCATCATCACCTGCTGCATCACAACTACCTTGCTTGCTTCTACCATCATCACCTGCTGCATCACAACTACCTTGCTTGCTTCTACCATCATCACCTGCTGCATCACAACTACCTTGCTCTCGTCGCGACTGCCCTCGTCACCATCATCGCTCGAGTCGCTTTCATTCTGACTACATCGGTTCCTTTGCGTTTGTCGGTACGCGTGGAGTGTACCGCGCTCGTGGGTACTCACAGGAAGTAGCCCGGCAAGCATTGGTCGCACTTCTCGGGGTCGGCTGTGAGAAAGGGGTGGGGGGCAGGAGAGAGAACGGGAGAAGGCACGTGACGTCACAACGAGTGTGCGTGCGGGGGAGGAAACCGAAGATCCTGGAGAAATCCTCGCACGTGAGAGGGGAATCTCGGGGTGGGGGCTGTGGGCGGGCGGCACTCACACGGCGCGCAGCCGGCGCAGCCAGGACCGCAGTCGAGGCAGTCGTCCGTGTCGGGGTCGAGCACCTGGCCTGGGAAACGTGGACACGGACGTCAACGACGCGACGCCACGACTCGCAGGAGCGACGACGGCATCAACACGAGTCTCCGCCGTGCGTGGATGTCGACGCAGAGCACGGACGACCGTGAACAGAAACACAGGGCGAGCGCAAACTGCACAAGCACAGCGCTGTAAGACGCCAGCACGGGGGGTGAACGCGAGCATGGGGCGAGTACACGACGCACGAACCACGCGGGGGGGCGGAATAAACGCAAACGCCACGGAGACAATTAGTCTGTTAAGACGCGAGCCGGAACACTGGCGCAAGGTAAACTCAAACGGTGCAGAGATGGGGGGTGGTGATGGCGGGGCCGTACCGGCTTCGCATGTCTGCACCTCCTCGCAGGCGCCGTTCACCACGTGGTACCGCGCCTGGCACCGCGTGCAGGAGTCTTGCGACGAGCACACCTGGCAGTTGTCGGCGCAGTCCTGGCACCGGTGGGAGCGCCGCTCGGCGAAGAAACCGAGTGGGCAGGTGAGGCGGCAGTGCCGCTTGTGCAGGAAGCGTTCTTTTCCGGCACGATCTGCTCGCACGGTCGTCACGCGCGTAAGGGCAAGCACCGCGCCGGCTCGCGGTTTTGGCGTTACGCCGCGCCGGCTCGCGGTTTTGGCGTTACGCCGCGCGTCGCTTTGGCAGCGTCCGACGTTTCGCGACGCGTGCTGGGAGCCGCTTCAGGAACCGAAACGTACAGCTCTTTTACAAGCCGTCCATCTGTCAATGTCGAAGCCTTTAAAGGAGATACCAAAGCATAAGCAATCTGTCAATCCCCTTGCTCGCCCTCACCGCTCTGCAAACCGATCAACGCCGGTTGAAGGCCTCCCCATTCTGTGTTGGTTGCTCCGTTTGTTTGTCGCCACCACGCCCGGGAGCGTGGGGGCGCCCACAGCGACGCCACTCGCCATTGGTGTCGCCTGCGGCCGGCGATCTGACTTGGGGTCACCGGGGTTGTAGCGCGGGGGCGCCAACCGCGACACCACCACTCGGCCCCGAATGGGAACTGCCAGTGGGTTACACATCCCCCTGTGGGTGCTGCTCGGGTTGTA